ATGTTCTTTCAATGGTAACAACTCATCTATTTCTTTATACTGCTATGATCACTAGATTACATGAAAGACTATGGATTAAATATGACTCAATGATTCATCCTCTTCCCCATGCGTATATGTACTCAAATTCGCATTACTGTGCCCTTATGCGATTCGGCTATAAATTTGTCTCTGTATTTGCTCACACATACGTATTAGCATCTGCTTTCAATTTGCTTGATGTGCTCATAGCTTTGTCATCTGTGCTATCCGCTAATTGACTTTAGTTGCCGCTTCTCATCACCTGACTTCAAACATCGTTGATACTTATAGTATAACGGTTATCGAGGTGGTTGAATAACGGAGCAAAGCCACTACAGAATCGGTGACCCCAATGTGTTACCACGAACCAGTTTTCGACCATCCAATCTAATTTCCAAAATTAAACGTACTTCGTCTCTGTTCGGATTATTATCTGAATCATAATCATAGTTGTTGATTTATTATACCAATTATTTTATTTGCACGTACATTTGTAGTAGCATTGAGCCCTAACCACTGAATCCTAAAAGGTGAACACGAGGCAACTGGAAAAATAGATATTCAACATTTAACTAGCTGAAAGATCTAACGGTAGAGAAAGCGGGAAGAATTAATTCAATTAATTCAATTCATTGGATGGCATGGCACAGTCTTCATATTAAATATACTGCTCCATCTGCAATCTAAGTGTTTTCCCATTATATGTTGCTGATTGTTACAATACAATAAGTCAATGCAGACAATAATGTGACCCCCACTTAGGATCTTATAGATTAGGCAGTTACATCACAACAAATCTACAATTTTGCGATAAGGTCTACTATTAGATCAGCACTAGTAACGAAGTAGACTATAACTCAACACATTTTCTCATAAACATTATTAAACATATTGATAATTCTCATACTATATTGGTGCGGTTTAGTAAGTCCGTTTTACGTTATAAATTGTACCATTCGTTATTACCATTGTTTTTATCGGTCCGTTTCTCTTTGCAACATTTAGATTATATTTGTGTGCTGTTTATCTTTTTTAGAAACAGGTTTCCCGAGAACACTGTGTTGTGTTTTCAGCAAGCACCGTCCATGAGGGTTCTTAATCCTCCTGTTCCCCATTTTAAGGTCACCAACCCGAAGCTTTAGTTTATTAGACTTGAAAATTATTTTCTGGCTAACCGCATTAGCTTACGGCCTCACTAGCACACTCCTTCCAGATGAAGTAGTGGATAGCGTACGAGAAGTGTTGGCTAAACCAGACCCTCAAAAGCCACACGATGTAGCAAAGCAAGCTGTAATTAAAACTGTTTATCTAAGTGACAAACAAGCTGTTGAACAACTTCCTAACCAAGTACAAATAGGGGATGAAACTCCATCACAGCTAAAACGTTATATGAAAAGTCTGCTAGGAGGTAGAAAAATGGACAATAGCCTGTTTTATCAGCTGTGATTTCAATAACTCCCATCAAATGTACAGTAGATCTTAGCAGTCAGAGATAACTGCGCCAACATAGATAATATAGAGAAAGTAGAATATACGAAAGAACCGAGTAACTGAGCCGTTGAAATTTATATTGTAATGGTTATCGTGGTGATCGGTTAACGAAGCAAAGCCACTACATATGAGATGCTTGCTAGCCTTTCGGTTCATTTATTGACTCCTTCTTCACACATGATTCGTTGGAACGCTACTCTCAACTCTCTCGCGATATGCTACAAAATTTCGGGCTAAGAAGAAACTTATTAGACACTGAAAGTTCCAAATTTCAATAGACTGACTTCGTTGTGTAAACTGATCACTGTTTTGCAGAGTTTAAACTTTGTGTGGTTCTTCCTAATTTGGAATTTACGTTGGCCTAGGGTTTCCACCTAGATGTTTTAAAAATATCCACTGGTTCTGGAAAAATCTTTCAAGGTTTTTGGAGAAATAACCAAAATTTAAACCCACAAAAATTCACCTTTCGCTCAATTTCAAATGGTTATGGACGGAACGGAAGAAATCTTCGCTCAACAGGCTTCCGTATATAGAAGCAGTGGGTCACCAATACCTACAGGTATATTTAACGAGAATAAAGGACAAAAACATGCAGTTACATATAAAGAGATGCTATGCTTTGTTCTATAGAATACGTCAGGTTTTCTCTTAAAGGGCTCCCAGTAAGTTATTTCGACTAACTCAACCTACTCCAAATTGCAGCATTCTGAAGAAACCCGAAACGGTTTCTTCACAACGCTTATGTACCCACAAAATGGTTTTGAATAATAATAATAATAATAATAATAATAATAATAACTAGGATACTATTAAGGAGTAGAACGTGGACCTACAGTCCATTCTTCCATATTGTCTTCAGTTTCTGGGTGTTACCTTTAAGGTTTGTATTAGAACAAAGCTTACGCAGGTGTTTTAGGGGATGCTTGGACGTATTTTGAATGATGTGTGCTATTGTGTCACCTCCAATACCCCTGTACTCTAGTAAATAAATGATCAGTTATTGGAAGCGCTCCTCATACGACTTGAATTTGAGCCTACGAACTGATTTTGTAGCTGAATATGTTCCAGTGTCCTTATCCTTTTGGAGTGAAGAGAGAAACACTGTTTCCATCCGCCAAATGGGGAAGAATAAAACTGTGGAAAGTTATGTGGAAAGTTCTTCTGTCAGACTGGCCAAAAATGATACCAGTGCAAAGTTTGCTCGAAAGGCATTTTTGTCGCCGTTGGCGTCAGACTTGAAATCGTAGGGTGCCAACACTCCCAAGTCTTTCTCGACTTGGGGTACTTCTAGAGGGAAGTCGCCCGCAGTCCGTAACATGTCTCAGATGGACTATTTTACACTTTGAAATGTCGGAAGTAAGTCCGTTTTCATCTGCCCAACTTAAAGGTTGAGTCAAATCCCCCCTGAAGAGGTAGTTTATCCTCTTGGTTGCGTATTTCTCTCCAGTGTTTCATATCATCAGCATAAATTAATAAGTCAGAAGATATCTGTCGTGAAAGATCGTCTATATAATTCAAGAAAAGAGGTCTTAGTACTGAACCCTGAAGAACCCCACTAGGACATTCCATAGCCTGAGAAAAATTAAGGCTAACCCTGACCTTAAAATGTCAGTTTGTTAGGCACGAAGTCAATGGATCAACTAGTGGTGATCTGAAACCTAATCGTTTGAGCTTATTGATAAGACATATATGATCGATCTTATGGAAATCCTGTGATAGGTCATGGTATATGACGTCAATCTTACACTTGCGACCAAGGATGGTTGTCCATTTACCCAGCTGTCAGCAGGTTGGCAACACAAGAGCGACCATTCTTGAAATTGTGCTGATAGGGTGAAAAAAAGTTTATGGATAGTAAGTAGTCATGCAGACCGTAACATATCAGGGACCCGATAATTTTGAGGAAATTGAGAAAAGTTCTAACGACTCGAATGTCATTCGTGTAAACGTCCTTTGAAAATTGGTGTGATGTGAGCCAGTTTCCAGATTCTAGTGACTTGTCTTGGTTTAGTGGATGTGAGATCATTCTAAAAGGTGTTGTCAAGATTGAAGCTGCTTCCCTCATTATAACAGAATGGACCACATCCGGGTCAAGAGAAGTGTCCATGTTTAAGTTTTGCAGTTTCCGGTACACCGAGTTGGCGCTTAGGTTTACTTCTGAAAGTCCTGTTTAGTTGCAGGTAAGGCTCTCGTTGATGTTGTCCGCCTGAGATGGTTGAAATGTCTGAAAGTAATGTTCTGTCAGAATATAATATATTTCTGCAAGGGCATGTACACAACATTTTTACAGACATGATCTGCAAGTTACAAAATATACTGGTTCCTAGTGTGCATCTCAAGCAGGGTTGTTTAGTAAATAAAATCTATAAAAGTTGGTAGCAGTTCATTCGTTCTGAAATGCTTTTCGGATTCGCACGCTTCTTGCTGACTGGTTAGAAAACTTTCGGGGTTGATTGCTCTGCCTAATCACTAGTTGATAGCACTACAACACATAGGAATTTCTACATTTTAGATGGTGACGTTCGGTCCTTCCTAACTTTATTGATAGAAGTCCAATCGCCCCCAAAGATTTGAGAGACCGCCGATCTGTTAAGAGATCCTGTGTAAGGAGACCAAAGTTTTCTGAAAAAGTCTAATACTGTAGATATTATGGTGGTGTTGAGCTTCAGATAATCTTCACCATTGTCAATGTGTGTTTCATCGATGCTAATGTTATCAAAGACCCTCTTCTTTATTTCACTGAGCGTCTTTGTTTATTTATTCGTTTCTGGTCCAAAATTTTCCATGTTTGCCCGCAACATTTTTTTGCAGAATTGTCAAGACAATGATGAGGTTTCTCAGCAAGTCTTCAATATTCATATCGCATTTACCATATACCCACCTACTATATGAATCATTAAGTGTGCTGTACACAAACACTATAGGATATGTGCAGGCTACGTGAAATCAATCTTTTCGTTTCTCACAGTGCATGTCACGGATGACAGCGAAACGACACCCAGGTCGCTTCAATGTGTTCTTCATTACAATGATGTTATGAAATTTTAGATATGTCCTATCGGGTTTATAACCGCAATCCAACAAAAAAAACGATACGCGCAAAACGGGAAAAAAATCAGACGGTACAAAAGGTTAAGATATACAAAAACCAGCCTTGACGTGGAAAATTGTTAAGAACCGAAGAGGAGGAATAGGCACAACCACAGCCAACTCATAACTTACTTAAAACTAAAAGAAAAAACGTAAACTAACAAGCTCGAATCTCAATACATATTTTTTGGATCAGGAATGACATTATTGGTGAGTGAAAACACAGCAAAAGTTCGAGAAGTGCAAATAATTCCAGGAATATTTTTTTCCGTTCGTAAAGCGCGCGTAATGTCATTGAAAATTTAGATTTTTCTACAATCCTTTATTCAACATTACTAAATTTTCTGCATTCTCCCAAAATGTTGAGTAAACTAACGTTTCCTTTCTAACTGACCTTCTGTCTTTCCAAATTGAGAGTGCACAAGGTCGTTGTGTGGATAGGGTAATTCAGTTTGGAGGCCAAATGCTCGTTTCATGTCACTCAGTCTTCCGGATCGTGTCAAAATTTCTTCTAAGATTCTAGCCGATTTATTCGTCTGCTGAAGAATGAGTTCACAGAAAGGTAACACTCAGCGCACACGCCCTCAGAAATATAAGAATACTAAGGCTTTTAAAAACAACTTGCATGATGCGTCTAAAGAAATCAAACGCCTCAACAATCTTACGTTCGACTTTTTGTGTCCCAGATGTACAGATGTCGTGCAATGGAAAGTCAAATACAAAAAGTACCATCAGTTAGCAAACCCTAGAGTTTGGTAAGCTGGCTAACATTTTTTTATTTCTTTGGCTGAAAAACGCTATTAATCAGAAGAAAAACTTATAAGGAACCATCCTATGCATCATGTCTCGAATAAGTCAATAAATCACCTTATTCATTTTTGAGTATTAGGAAATTCTTTGCAATCCGTATCGGTAAATGTTCATAACTTGAAAAATCGGTTGTCGTAATGGTGAACACATTAATATTACTTTTCATTTGTCTCACAGTTACTTACTCCCGTTCATGTCCTCAAATTTTAGGGTTTGCCGTCAAGGTTTATTTATTACATAGAATTATTTCCTTTTACTCCGAATTATTTGCTATTCGTCTGTTTATATCTATCTGAGAAGAGCATTTTCCACTTTGTTGTAAAGGCTTTTCTACAGAACGTTAATATTCAGTCAACTGTTAAAAATGTGTTCACTAAATAATATGTATCCGATAAAATTTTAACATCTCAAAGCTCAGGAAGGTCACAACTCGTTCAAACGAAAAAATACCACTAATCAAAGTATGATGAAGTTTACATCTTACATACTATCTTGTTTAAGTGGTTCTCCGAATTCACCATGAACAAAGAATCATATCTTTCAAATGGAATGCCTAAATAGGTACAGTTCAATTATAATTAGTTGGTTACTTCGGTTTCTCTAGTGGATTGATATCTAGTCTTAGTGCGAAAGCTTTGTATACAATTGTAAAGTCAGTTATTTTCCCTTATTACCTTTATTATCATTTTTGTTGTACTCTATGTAGGTGCATTCTCTCATATAAAAAAGGGATCTTTTGAGGCGTTATTTGGAATAGTTGATGGTTCTTCAGATGATATGTTTCAGTATTCAGTCACTTTCCAGTAAATCTGACTACTTTCATAATAACAAATTATTAAGTGCGTCTTTCAAAACACAGCATTTTTTAGTTTACCAACCTAATAAGACTATTGTCAGTATATTTAAGGCGTTATCAATGAACCTATGAGTCAGGAGTTTCCGAAAACTCATGCTGTCTTGAGAAGTGTATAAATGATGGTTTGTGGGGAGGAAGTTGAGACATTTTGAGGAAAACCATTCAGCAAACTTACTGTGATCAGTAATGTGGAATTTGGTTTGGTAAATAAACTGTTTTGCACTGTTATGAGGCTTCATAAACGGTAAAAGCGAATGGTGCCCTTAGATAAAAAATATAGGTATAGGTAAGTGCCTGTAACTGCGCTTATTTCTTAGCAGGGGATTTATTAATACATCGATAATCTAGATATAAAATCTTTTAAGATTTCTAGTGCTCTGTGCCTGTCGATCTTAGTTATACCAGTGGTATAAGACTAAGCACATACGTATCGTATGTTTTGCATTTCATATCAGTACGACTGAAGGGAGTAAGTGAATTTAAAGATAATGCTATCTACAATTGTAAGAAACCAAAGGAGAATGCCCTAAAACTAGCCTTGTTTATGGGCATCGACAACAAATATCAACTACCTCAATCGATAAAAACTCGTAATTTTTTCAATCGACTTACCCATTTACTGAATGCTCTACCTCGCTCGGTGAGTTCATAATAAACTAGCTATTTTCTCTAAAACATGTGGCAAGACATTTCTAAATATATTCAAGTCTTTTGTCGCAGTTGTTTTACACCAATTCAGTGATATGTAGAGGACTGTTACTTTCACTATTCGATACGACGGAAACCTTATCTACGTTGCAAATAAACTAGGTAATCGTACCTAGATTTTGTCAGCAAGTGACTCACTGAAATCTATGTGATTCAAATATGAATGGAATATTGATTCCGATTCGCTACTGTTTTTGAATTAGACGCTGACGAAAAATGCATACCAGACATTTTTTGAGCTGTTACACAAGATGAGTGGCTTATTGATTAAAACTTGGTTTTCGACTGTCAGGTTACGGAAAGAATTCTAATCCTCTCATTTTGATTCGGATAGTCGAGTAGAATCACTGTCCCCTAGACAAAGAATACAACTGGAAGTCGAGACCATAAAACTACTTACCCATTTACGCAATTACTCTCTGTATTTACCGTACTCCTCAGTTTAAACTACCTTGTACATTCCAGGTTGGTAAAATAATATTTTGGCAATCGGTCAATTCATAATTGTGTTGATTTTGGGATCGTTCCCACGAAACAATTGGATAGAAATAAGGAAAGAAATTAGTTCTACCGAGGGTTAATCAATGTTACTTTGTATGTTAGTATAGCTTTTTGATGTGAACGGTTGTCCTATTTTATCAAATTAGATTTTAACTACATGAAAGCTAACTTCAAACTTCTCTGTTTGAAACCTGTTGTTCGTATTGTTAGTAGTCTTATTGTTGTTTTCAGTAATGTAATTGCTTGATGGAATAACTGAAGGAAGTCGTCATTATTCACTAAAAATTGGGAATTAGTTTCACTGTATCTTTATTTCTTTTCGATCCTGATAGTGTGAAGTGTAACGGGAAAACTGTAAAACAAGCCTACCATACGATCTGTACAGATTGTTCATTTGCTTTGAAAATCTGCTCTAAGTGTGGAAAATCAGATGGACCGATTACCTTTGGGTAAGTAGTTCTCTTAATTAAGCATAGTATTTATGATCACTGGTGGATCAAAGTGATATGAATGTCCCTTATAAGGAATATTTCACCAAAATAATACTTTAATACGGCTAACAAATACTCCTTGCAGCGCTGAGCATAAGGTATCAAACAACGTGAACATAACTAGAAATAACACTGAACACCCTCAGCATCTTTGAATTATTCATTCAAAAGGATCCTCACATGTATGGGCCCTAATGTACTTGTATTTTGTTTTAGAAGATATGCAAAGAAGTTTTCGTCTATACCGAGTAACTTATACTTGATACAGTAGATACAAAATTGAAAGCTAAACTCTGATTGTCTGTACACAACCATATTCGTTTTAGTTCGAAGGGTCAAAAATGACCTCAATAACACCCTTCAAGGTCACTAGTGACACAACAGTTGCTTTTAAAATCCCGGGGAAGAACAGGGGAAAAATTGCATAAGTACACAAGTGATTTATAGGGATTGACAAATCTTGAAATTCAGTACTCAATAGTGCATCTCGACAAAATAAATTAGGTAGGGACTTTTTCTTAATATCAACAAAGTATATGAAGAACAAGAAAAAGAATATATAAAACTACCAATAGTAAACTTAACAGTTTTTATGGGCGAGCCGTCCGGCTCCGGGACCTTTGTTTCTTCTTTGTATCAAGGTCTAGAACACAACATTTCGACAGTTAGGAGGGCCGAAATCTAGGCTATCAAGGCCATTATTTCATGTTTGCTGGAAACGCAATAATTTCAAAGCAATCAGAACTTCATACACACAATAAAATCATACACAAATTTTACATGTGCTTTTAGTAAGATATGGCAAGTGATGTTACGTAGGACTTTTTTTACTGTTACTAATCTACTTTGATGTTTGTCTTGATAATTTCATATCGACTGGTTGCACGTTGCTTGGACATGGAGGGTCCACCTAGGGGAGTTGGAAAACCCTGATTCCAAACCAGTGGTGCACATGGGCTCCAGTATCCTGAGGGAACAAATGGCGTACGAATCAACCGTTGATCACCGGCTACCATGGGACTGCATCTCCTCACGACGCTCCACTGCCTTGTGGATCAGACATTCAGGTCGAAGGCTCCAGGTGTGGCCCCCTAAGAAAACCACCTGCTTCAGTCTGGGAAACCCCCACACAAATCGAATGAGATTTGTGAGGCGCATATTTATCTGGTGCTTCCTTGTACCAATATTTGTGTTTAAATAAATAAAATAACGTTGCTTATGATGGACTGGTTTGCAGGACTCGATGTCTCATCACAGCAAGATTGTTTGAGAAAAGGTCTTAGAATAGAAGCAAAAGTGTATCGAATATGCCTTCTAAACGAAGCAGTTAATTGTTATGTAAGACAGATTTAGCGTTAAAACTATTTTTCGCATGTTCTTTCAGTTTCTGTTTTGAAAATAACGTTATTGATCTTAGTGTAAATTCGATGTTTGTGTCGGGAGATAATGTCTTCGGTGTTGGCAAGACTTTAGTTATTTCGTACATCTGGCATAACATTCCTTAATAGAAATTACTCAGCCGTTAGTATAACCAATCAGCAGGGAGCGTCAGTTACAATAAAGCATAAATAAACTGCGATGAGTAACTGTTATGATTTTTCTTTATTATTACCCAGCTATTCCTATTGCTTAGTAATCTTGGACACCAATACACTCGACAAGTCCCTAAATCAGAACACAATTGAACAGGGAAGAAATTATAGTCTGAACAACAATGATAGATGGAAGTAAGAAGCGCAATAAGAAATACGTTAGTCTACTTATAGTTTATACAAGATTCTAGAAGATTCTAGAGTCTTCTCCAAGTATCGACTAGCTCTTATTGGCTAAGAATTAGCCAATCAGTGTGCATCAACACAATCGTGCACAGAGCATGCCTTAATTCAATCTATGTCCTGCTAACAGGTAACTGATCCCTTTCCCCTTTTCAGTGCTACAGAAAATCAAGAAGATATTAACCAAAAATTCACTGACGCTTTGAAAAATGTTCGTGAGAGAGAACGCCGTAAGTTATTTTTTTTAGATGAATCAGGACGTTTTTATTTGAGTGTTGGGTTTTATATGTGCTGTTCGTTACTAAACCCTTACATAAACAGTAGTCTTAATGAAGCTTTCCATTTACTTCATACAAATAGGAAAATGAGCTAAAATATACCTATCCCTATCGTATTATATTCTAGTTACTTTTTATTTTCTTACCGTCTGCTTCTGGACCATGAGTTTTGTTAACAGTTAAAGTACAAGTTACGAAAATTTATTCTCTGGAACGGTAAACAGTGATTTGGGTGATTTTTGCGAACGATATTCAATATCTTAGCACTATATTCCCAATAGTATTCATATATTTGAATCGTACCTTTTAGAGTCACTAGAACCATTTCCAAACAGCCTGAACGAAACAGCACCCCTCCAACTCTAATTGAAGCTATAGATAGTCTGAAATAAGGAAGAGCCGCTGGTTCAGATGGATTGGCTCCAGAGGTCTTTAAGGATAGTGGTACAGTTTAGGCGATTAGGTTGACTATTTCAGCTAAAATGTGGGAACTGGATTTAATCCCATCTCACTGGTTGCAATCACTAATTTTCTCAATATGTAAGAAGGGGTCAAAATCATCCTTTGATAAATTGAGGGATTAGCTTGAGCAATATAGCATCCAAAATACTAGCCTCAATAATTACCGGGCGCCTAACAAAGACTCGTAAACTGTAAATACGATAAAACCAGGTTGTGGCCGCACCGACCACATATACACAGTTAGTCAGGTTTTAGAACACAGGAGTCAGACAATGATAGTTTTTCTTGACTTGAAAGCAGCATTTGACTCTGTAGACCGAGAGGCTCTGTGGCAGTGTCTGTCATTGAAAGGTGTACTTTAGAAGTACATAAACTTTGTGAAGGCTCTTTACTCGAATACTACCAGTCAAGTCAGAGCTTGTGGCGAACTTCCATCTGATATTGCAACCTCGAGTGGTGTCCGACAAGGCTGTCCACTATCTCCATTTTTCTTTAACTTCATCATAGACCTACTGCTGGAATTAACGTTCTCGTTGTCTGAAATTTCAGGAATTGATCGCCTTCCAGGGGGTCCACTTATCGACTTAGAATACGCAGATGATATAGTCTTGTTTGGTGAAGACACTGGTAAAATGCAGAATCTTTTGGTAGCACTGAGTAACAATGTCTGGATGTTTGGGATGTGTATCTCCTCTTCTAAATGCCATTTGTTGCTTCAGGAGTGGACTGCATCAACACCTGAACTAAGGATAGGGAGTGAAGTAGTCGAACGCGTCGACAACTTCACTTATCTTGGAAGTCTGATCAGTCCAAATGAGTTGGTGTCTGACGAAATCTCAGCACGGATTCAGAAAGCTCGTTTGACTTTTGCCAACTTACGTCACCTATGGCGAAGACGAGATATCTATCAATTAAGGGACGAGTATATTGTGCGGCAGTTCGCTCTGTTCTGCTTTATGGCTGCGAAACGTGGCCATAGAGAAGAGGAGAAGATACTCGTAAGTTACTAGTATTTGACCACAGATGCCTTAGAAATATTGCTCACATCTACTGGGATCACCGGGTAAGTAATAGTGAGGTTAGACACAGAGTATTAGGGAATGATGGTGAATCAGTTGATGAGATCATGAATCTTCATCGACTGAGATGGTTAGGCCACGTGTTACGTATGCCTGAACACCGATTACCACGACACGCAATGCTATCTAGTGTTGGCAATGATTGGAAGAGAATTAGGGGCGGCCGAACCAAAACGTGGCATCAGTCCTTGAAGTCACTAACTTCTAGCCTGAGCCATGTTGGTAGATGCAGACTACTTGGTTGGGGTACACGCGATCATCGTAACCAGTTGTTGGAGACTGAGAATTTATCACAATGGTGTAGGTGTTTACATTTTTTGTCTTCCCTTGAACCATGAGATTAAAACTGCTTCATACCTTTCTTTCTATGAACTAATTCTTTCTATCCTTACATGCAATCTTTTTTTTATATATTACAACCATTGAAGTAACTGCTTTTATGAATTTGGTGTTCATCTTTTTGTGCTAATGAGGTATGGAAACTTTGACCGATGCATATACGTGTGTGGTCCTACGTTGTAGATGACTGACTCTAACAAATACATCTGCAACCTTTTGGAAATTCCCGGATTAAAACTTCATCATGGACCTGACGATAATTACTGGGTTTCGTCACTGACGTCATGATTTATTACCTGCGACAGAGTGGGTATTCAAAGTAACCGAAGTAACTTAAATTATCTCACACTATTATGTATAGATTATAACAACAATCATTGCAGTCTATACTTTCTATCTCAAGTATTTTAATTTGCCTGAAGATATCCAACCAATAAATCAGATCCACTACTTTTAAAGGACAGATAATCCTAATTTTAGATAGATGTATCTGCCCCTAACCAAACATGTCACAAATTTAATCTAATGATTGTTAAAATGGTTATCCGTCTGATAGCTATTCTTTATTAGTTTCAGTACTTTCAACATAATTTGGAGTAATTTATATTTTCGAAACATATGAACCTTCTGTAGGTGCTCTTCTCCGTTTGACCCAGTCCAATAAAAAAACAGTTGAATCAGGTAATATCGACCCTAATGAAGAATTTCATCCAGACAGTCTGGATAAACTAATTGTGAATGAGCTATCGGATATCAAATTTGATAGGAACAAATATGAATCAAATGACTATAAATCCAGTTAGCGGGATTGTATTAAAATGTATTTGTTGTAAATGTCATATATCAAAGTATTTTTAAACTATCTTTCTTTTTTCGGAGAACTATACACACGGCTCACTTTATGTAACCAACACATTTTATAACAGTCTGCTATAAAATTGAAAACATTCAACTCGACAATTTGGTGTCATCGTAGAACGGTCTACCTAATGCGTGAAGTACCTGAAGGTTATAAGATGCGTCTGATATCTTTAATGCTGGCATATAAATCGTGCATTGAGTTATAAATAATTGTCACTTGGCATTAGAGCTCGGCGCAGAAAACAGTTAAGGAACCAAGGAATATTCCAAAAAGATCTAAGGAAATTACGAATGCCTTATACAAAAACATTTTTGATGTCATCCCTTTTTCCATAGCAGCAAGTTGTGTGGTCAGCACAAGTGTAAACATGACCTTTGCGGGATCAGTAGTATCCATTCGCTTGAAAGTCAGTGCCCACAATTATAATACTGGAAACTTAAAACCTCAAAGTGAGAGGTGTGAACATCATTTGGATCTTCTTAAGGTGAAACTGAACTCATTTGGTTCAACATAAGACTATATTTCATCAGTTTGGTCCCACTAACAATGATCTAACAAAACTCAATGAAGAATGACTACTCCGTAGCATTACATGACAGTACACTGAATTTAAATGATAAAGGTTGTTCCATCTCTCGGATCGTCATAGTGTTAAATGCGAAACATTGTAATAAGTGACGGGTATAAAGGTATACAACAGGGACTTCTCACTGTACAGAATCATGTTAAAGTAACTGCAAAACATTCAGTTAAAAAATGGTGAGCAAATATACTTTGATGACGTATGTTCTGAGGAAACAAGTCGTAAAATAGTTTGATTATTCTTATTGTTTAGGAATGAAATATTATGTCGTACAATAAATATTACTGCAAGGAGTCAAAAATATAAATCGACCCCACAACCATGCATCATTAAACTTGAGTTCGAAAAAATCACAGATTATCTGGAAGTCTGTACATGAAAAACAACTGTGTACATAGAAGACTAAAAAAGATTTCCTTCGGGCACTACACGATTTACCTCACTGGGAAAACACTAAAAGATTAAAAACATGTAGGCGCAGGAAATGACCAGTAGGTTCCATGAAGTGTTTGGAAAGAATAATCGGCAATAAACAGTATATTAGTGTCAAGCATTTAGATTTCTGTAAAAGGGACCAGATAAGTCGATTTCGATTTGTACAAATTTATGCTGAGGGGGCAGTTTAGGAAAAATGAAACTAATTATTTGACAAAATAAACTGCGACAACTCAATAGGTTATGGAAACAGTAAATATACAAGATGCGCTTCAAGCGCATGAAAACTGCTAGTAGTTAACAAGACATGCGTTTAAGGCCTAATTGTGTGGTTGCGAAAGTAGTTATGTTATATCCCTACTTTGAACTCATTGTATTTAGCAAGACAGAGGAAAAGACGAGATCATTAAGTAAAACTGGCTGGAAATTGGTACTAATATAGAAAACATGTCAGGACTGCTGCTGTGGTCGTCCTAAAGATACCACTGTACGTGCAGGAGTAGGCAATCTCAAGATAGGTATTGTTTGCTGACGGCACAAAATGTAATCCGGCATAATATTACTTTGTTGAATTATCCTGCGACGTTGATCTCGTGTGCACATAATGATAGGTTGGTGGTTTGAACTTCCGAATGAATTGGATAAATGTAGACGATCTAATGTCGGATATTCATTAGTACGCCATATCATTTCACGATCTTCTTGTGCAGGATCAACGAACAATTCGGAGCCCATACCTGGATCCGATAATATAAAACTACGATCAAATTCTTCTTTTATAAAACAGTCTTCCTCCTCTACTTCTCCTTCGTCATTATCGTCGTCAATATCATCTTCATTCGGGTTGGCAAATGATTTGGAATGTTTTCGCCTACCGGATGTATATTTTGGTACTACAATATACGGGTCATTTCGCAATTCACATTTGGAACCTGTGGATACAGATAAGGGTGTTTCATCAATCGTGTATGGAGGTGGGGGCAATTCATGAGCAGCATAACGTGATGCGGAGGTTGGACGAGTATAACCTCGAAGAGCCTTTATATAAGTTGGTTTTGAGTTGGAAGAATTAGATGAGGTTACCATAAAAGGAGATGTACTTTTGACCTGTACATTACTTTCGCCATCATTATCTGACGTAGGATAAGGTTTATTCGAATCATTAACATTATCGACAAGCGAAGTTTGCTGAGAAATTGGCAGTTCATCAAGCTCGGAGAAGTAGCCGGGTGTTTGTGAAGTTGTTGAAGAGCTACGTGGACCTCTATTCAATACAAAAGACCATAAATAATGATAATGCAACAAGATAAGATTTTTGCATGTATTAACGCAATAACAGGGATAAATATATATGAACATTAGGGATAGATTATTGAATAGGCAGTATACTTATTTACTTACTTACGCCTGTTACCCCTCGTCGAGGAGCATAGGCCGCTCACCAACATTCTCCATCCAACTCTGTCCAGAGCCTTCCTTTCTAGTTCTTTCCAGTTGTTATTCATCCTTTTCATATTGGCTTCTATTTCCCGGCGTAGTGTGTTCATTAGCCTTCCTCTTCTCCGCTTCCCTTCAGGATTCCAAGTTACGGATTGAGTCGTGATGCACATTAGCGATTTCCTTAATGTATGTCCGATCCACTTCCAACTTTTTTTCTTATTTCCTCTTCAACTGGAAGCTGGTTTGTCCCCTCCCATAAAACGCTGTTGCTGATAGTATCCGGCCAATGGATGTTGAGTATTTTGCGTAGACAACTATTTATTTATACTTATAAATACTTCCTGATGATGGTCGTAGTAGTTCTCCACGTTTCAGCTCCATACAGCAGAACTGACTGTTTTGACGTTCGTATTAAAGATTCTGACCTTGAAATTGGTTGAGAGTTGTTTTGAGTTCCATATGTTCTTCAATTGTAAAAATGCTGCCCTTGCTTTGCCAATCCTCGCCTTTACATCTGCATCCAATCCTCCTTATTTATCAACGATGCTCCCTAGGTACTTGAATGGTTCCACCTCTTCCAGGGTTTCGCCATCAAGTGTGATTGGGTTGGTGTTCTCCGTGTTGCATTTGAGAATCTTGCTATTCCTTTGTGAATGTGGAGGCCTATCGATGCGGAGGCTGCTGCTACATTTGCCGTCTTCATCTGCATTTGTTCGTGTGTAAGAGAGAGGAGGGCTAGGTCATCTGCGAAGTCCAAATCATCTAATTGATTCTGAGAAGTTCATTGTATTCCGTATTTCCCTTCAGATGTCGAATTCTTCATAATCCAGTCAATCACTAGAAGGAAGAGGAATGGGGAGAGTAGACAGCCTTCTCTGACTCCGGTCCTTACTGGAAATGCATCTGTCAGCTGTCCTCCATGCACCACTTTGCACTGTAGTCCATCGTATGAGTTTTGGATAATGTTGACAATCTTTTCAGGAACTCCACAGTGTCGAAGAAGTTTCCATAATGTTCTCCTGTCCACGCTGTCAAACGCCTTCTCATAGTCAATAAAGTTGACGTATAGTGATGAGTTCCACTCAACTGATTGTTCAACGATGATCCGTAGTGTCGCAATCTGGTCTGTGCACGACCGATCCTTACGGAACCCAGCCTGATGATCCCTAAGTTCGGCGTCTACTGCGTCTTTCATCCGATTCAGCAGCACTCTGTTGAAAACTTTTCCTGGTACTGATAACAAACTGATGCCTCTGTAGTTCTCACATTGGCTCAGATCTCCTTTCTTTGGTATCTTCATGAGATATCCTTCTTTCCAGTCCATTGGCGCTTGTTCCTCTTCCCAAATCTTCTTGAATAGAAGGTGAAGCATGTTTGCAGTTATTTCAATGTCTGACTTCAGTGCTTCTGCTGGTATATTGTCAGGTCCTGCCGCTTTCCCACTTTTTATTTGTCTGATGGCTATCTTGACTTCTTCGATCGTTGGTGGAGTGACATCTATTGGAAGGTCAGTGTGTGCTGCTTCGATATTCGGTGGGTTCAATGGGGCTGGTCTATTCAGCAGTTCCTCGGAAGATTCTGCCCATATTTCCTTTTGTTCTTGAATCTCCGTGAGTGTCGTTCCTTCTTTGTCCTTGACTGGTCTCTCTGGTTTGCTATATCTCCCTGCCAATTTCTTCGTTGTATCATATAGTTGTCTCATATTCCCTTATCTTGCAGCTTTTTCCGCCGTCGTTGCTAGTTCTCCCATGTATTTCTGCTTGTCGGCTTTAATGCTTTTCTTCACTTTCCTGTTTGCTTCTGCGTAGTCTGCTTGTGCTTTGACTTTCTATGCTCGTGTTCGGCTGTTGTTAATTGCTAGTTTATTGTTCTTCCTTTCTTGAATTTTGTCCAGGGTTTCCATAGAGATCCATTCCTTGTGATGATGCTTCTTAGGACCAAGAACCTCCTGACACGTTGAAGTTAGTGCTTCTTTGATCCCTTTCCAGTTGTCCTCCAAAGTAGCTTCTTGTTCTTTCAGTAGATCCTGGAACCTGTTGTTGAGAGTTATCTTGAATTCATGGAGCTTGTCAGTATCTCGAGGGAAGGCTGCATTGAACCCTTGTAGTGCTGTTTGTCCAGTGTTTCTTTAGTGCCAGTTTCATCTTGGCCATAGCCAGGTGGTGATCTGAAGCTATGTCAGCTCCTCTCCGGGTTCTCACATCTTCCATTGATCTTCGGAATTTTTTGTTGATACAGATGTGATCTATCTGGTTCTCTGTGGTGTGGTCCGGTGAGATCCATGTAGCATTGTGTATACGCTTGTGTGGGAATGTTGTGCCGCCTATAACCAATTTGTTGAATGCACATAGGTTTGCAAGCCTCTCCCCATTTTTATTTCTCTCTCCTAATCCATGTCGTCCAATTACATCTTCATATCCTGTGTTGTCCACTCCAAATTTAGCATTTAGATCTCCCATCAGGATTGTGAGGTCCTTTCGTGAGCACTTCTCTATAATTGATTGCAGCCCTTTATAGAACTGATCTTTATCATCGTCGTTG